ACCTCACCAACATATATACACACAGGTATAACCTCACCAACATATACACACACAGGTATAACCTCACCAACATATATACACACAGGTATAACCTCACCAACATATATACACACAGGTATAACCTCACCAACATATAAATACACAAAGGTATAACCTCACCAACATATATACACACAGGTATAGCCTCACCAACATATATACACACAGGTATAACCTCACCAACATATAAATACACAAAGGTATAACCTCACCAACATATATACCTGTGTGTATATATGTTGGTGAGGTTATACCTGTGTGTGTATATGTTGGTGAGGTTATACCTTTGTGTATATATGTTTGTGAGGTGATACCTGTGTGTATATATGTTGGTGAGGTTATACACACAGGTATAGCCTCACCAACATATATACACACAGGTATAACCTCATCAACATATATACACACAGGGAAAACCTCACCAACATATATACACACAGGTATAACCACACCAACATATATACACACAGGTATAACCTTACCAACATATATACACACAGGTATAACCGCACCAACATATATACACACAGGTATAACCTTACCAACATATATATACACAAAGGTATAACCTCACCAACATATATACACACATCTCCTCAGTTTTATATCAGCTGTGATCAAGACATAAAATCCCAAACAATCAAATCTTCTCAGTGTTGTAAATCTCTAAAACCTGCCTTATATAGAAAGCATTATCAATAGGACAGAATCAGTGAGGTAACATAGAGAAGATTATTCCATATTTATCTTTCCTTGGTTGATGCAACAATGATACTTTCCAGTTACTAGTATAATACCATTGTATGATACCATTAATTCTAATGACAGTGGCCCATGGGTGATATCAATCATGTTCTTTTAAAAACGCTTAGAAACCTATTTCCATTCTGACTAATGGAGAACCCATATCTGTTTGTCAGCCTGCCATCAACATGCTGCTCAACCTGATCAAAAAGACAGACGAAGGCAGTGGTAAAAAGAAAGAAGGTGGTATTCTGTTACGTCCAATCATCTGCATCTGTAACGACCAGTGAGTATCGCTAACGACCAGTGAGTATCGCTAACGACCAGTGAGTATCGCTAACGACCAGTGAGTATCGCTAACGACCAGTGAGTATCGCTAACGACCAGTGAGTATCGCTAACGACCAGTGAGTATCGCTAACGACCAGTGAGTATCGCTAACGACCAGTGAGTATCGCTAACGACCAGTGAGTATCGCTAACGACCAGTGAGTATCGCTAACGACCAGTGACTCTATGTTTCAGTGATTAACAGTGTTGATAAGTGAGAAATTGTGTTGACCTGTATGTTCGATGACCACTGTGTTACTGAATATTTTTGACCAGTGTTTATGAGTAACTGTGTTGACCTGTAACTGTGATGACTTTTAATTAGGGCTGTAACGATACATTAATGATTATCATAACAATACGATACGTATCGCGATACAAATGGTCACAATATGATGCATATCATGATACATAGAGTAACAGTAGAAGTGAAAAGATATGTTGCAAATTTTTAATGGAAAGATTACAACAGTCCAAAATGGAATGACTTCACAAAATTCATGTCTTTCAATGTGCATGCCTAGCTGGAGCTGTCACTCGCCATGTGGGAACGGTTATGAGTAGACTAAAATTTAGAAACTACGAAATCCGGAAAATATCCTCGGTGTATCGTGACCTCTCAAAAAATATTGTGTCTTGTATTGTATTCAAAATATCGCAATATATCGTAGCACGATATATCATTGCAGTCCTACCTTTAACTTTAATGGCCAGTGTGTTACTGATAATATTGACCAGAGAGTAGCTGTGTTGATCAGGTAAGTGTACATGTGATGACCAGTCAGTAACTGTATTGACCACTAAGTGTTATGACGTAGCACGATATATCATTGCAGTCCTTCCTTTAACTTTAATGGCCAGTGTGTTACTGATAATATTGACCAGAGAGTAGCTGTGTTGATCAGGTAAGTGTACATGCGATGACCAGTCAGTAACTGTATTGAACACTAAGTGTGATGACCAGTCAGTAAGTGTGATGACCAGTTAGTAACTGTATTAACCACTGTGTGATGACCAGTGAGTATCTGTATAGACAGGTAAGTGTACATGTGATGACCGGTCAGTAACTGTATTGACCACTAAGTGTGATGACCAGTCAGTATCTATTGACAGGTAAGTGTACATGTGATGACCAGTCAGTATACATGTGATGACCAGTCAGTAACTGTATGGATCACTAAGTGTGAAGACCAGTCAGTAAGTGTGATGACCAGTCAGTAACTGTATTGACCACTAAGTGTGATGACCAGTCAGTATACATGTGATGACCAGTCAGTAAACATGTGATGGCCAGTCAGTAACTGTATGGATCACTAAGTGTGGTGACCAGTCAGTAAGTGTGATGACCAGTCAGTAAGTGTGATGATAAGTCAGTAACTGTATTGACCACTAAGTGTGATAACCAGTCAGTATCTATGGACAGGTAAGTGTACATGTGATGACCAGTCAGTAAACATGTGATGACCAGTCAGTAAACATGTGGTGGCCAGTCAGTAACTGTATGGACCACTAAGTGTGATGACAAGTCAGTAAGTGTGATGGCCAGTCAGTAACTGTATGGACCACTAAGTGTGATAACCAGTCAGTAAGTGTGATGATCAGTCAGTAACTGTATTGACCACTAAGTGTGATAACCAGTCAGTATCTATGGACAGGTAAGTGTACATGTTATGACCAGTCAGTATACACGTGATGACCAGTCAGTATACATGTGATGGCAAGTCAGTAACTGTATTGACCACTAAGTGTGATGACCAGTGAGTATCTGTATGGACAGGTAAGTGTACATGTGATGACCAGTCAGTAACTGTATTGAGCACTAAGTGTGATGACTAGTGAGTATCTGTATGGACAGGTAAGTATACATGTGATGACCAGTCAGTAACTGTATGGACCACTAAGTGTGATGACCAGTGAGTATCTGTATGGACAGGTAAGTGTACATGTGATGGCCAGTCAGTAACTGTATGGACCACTAAGTGTGATGACCAGTCAGTAAGTGTGATGACCAGTCAGTAACTGTATTGACCACTAAGTGTGATGGCCAGTGAGTATCTGTATGGACAGGTAAGTGTGCATGTGATGACCAGTCAGTAACTGTATTGACCACTAAGTGTGATGACCAGTCAGTAAACATGTGATGACCAGTCAGTAACTGTATTGACCACTAAGTGTTATGACCAGTGAGTATCTGTATGAACAGGTAAGTGTCCATGTGATGGCCAGTCAGTAACTGTATGGACCACTAAGTGTGATGACCAGTGAGTATCTATGGACAGGTAAGTGTACATGTGAATACCAGTCAGTAACTGTATTGACCACTAAGTGTGATGACCAGTGAGTATCTGTATGGACAGGTAAGTGTACATGTGATGACCAGTCAGTAACTGTATTGACCACTAAGTGTGATGACCAGTGAGTATCTGTATGGACAGGTAAAGAGAACATCTTTATCTTTGTTGGCTTAACCTGCATATCTTCAAATTATCCTCTTGTCATCCTTAGTATGAATTATTACCTGATTAATTTATGTCATCAATTTATGTTAATCTATGTCAATTATTTTACTAGAATATCACTTTCGTCAGTTCAAAGATTGACCATGCATTCATTGAATCCCCATTACCCATACAGCTGATATAGTATAAACCTCCCCCTGTCACTTATGATAAGAGTTTGTTCTGTAGGTATGTTCCTTCGTTGCGCCTTCTAAGACAGAATGCGATGGTTATAACGTTCCCACAGACAGAGCCAGCCAAGCTTGCCAGCAGACTGTATGAGGTATGTACTGGGTCAAACTGAACTATATTTAGGAAATATTCAGAATAAACAAAGACTTGAGTATAAGGTAACCTTCCTAAATTTTGGTGGTCATAATAGCTTAAGGGGTCAAAGGTCACTTGACCTCTGTGAAGTAAAATGCCTGTGTACAAGCTATCTCGCATACCCTTCAATGGATTGAGTTTATATTTAGACCATATTGTGGTATACTTGAGTAGTAATATATTTTTACTGTCAAGGTTAAAGGGTCAAAGGTCACACTGGGCTTCTTTAGGGGGTGAGGGTATATTTAGGGGAGCTCCTGTTTACTTTATATTTCCACTGCAGATGTTTAAGATGACCGTTTTTGAAGAACTACAATAGACTTGTTCTATTGTTTGATAGGGTAACATAATGCATGGGAAAATAATATAAGTTTAGGATCAATCTAAACAGATTACAGATTACCCTGGTATGTGACATACTGCAAAAAAACTAGAATAAGTTGTCAGTCATTGGCTATCGTGATAATTAAGATATCCATGTTATATTGGTGAATGTTTGAGCTTTTTATGTATCTTTATAATAACCTGCACAATACCCAGGGCACATGATCATTTTATTTTTGTAACAGTGTATACGGTCAAAGAGTATTATCTGGTGTCAAAAAAGGAAAAATCTACACTATGTTTATATAAGGTTAAATGCATTTTCACTCTATAATTTGAGCATGAAATAGTTTCAAAATCCAAAAGCATATTTACATGGGCATTAATTAAGAACCAAGTAAAACAATTATATTACAGGTGACAAGAAAAGAAAGTTTGAAGGCTGATATGAACAGCTTATTAGCTTTGTGTGAGAAAACTGACAATGACATCAGGTCCTGTCTCAACACATTACAGGTAAGATGATATAAACAGTGTGTTAGCTTTGTGTGAGGTCACAGACAATGACATCAGGTCCTGTCTCAACACATTACAGGTAAGGTGATAGATCACAGACAATGACATCAGGTGAGAAAGGAATGTCGAAAACTTCTATCATCCTCACATGACATTTGGATAACAACTACATAACAATGACTTGTGAAAGTGGAAACATTTCAATACTACAATGTATAAATGACTGTCAAGATGAATCGAAAGGTATAATAATTTATTTACGTAAAGTTAGAAAGATGGAAATATTTTTTCTGAGCAAAAGTTTGCGGTAAAGGGGCACATTATTCCAAAATGGGAGCTAGATGGTAAAGATTTTCAAAACTGATTCTAACAATTTGATTGAGAGAAAAATACTCTTTCAAGGTCAGGGGTGCATGATAGGAAAAACTCACCTTTAAATAGGTAAACTACCCAGTACCCATCATTCACTCGGGGCTGAAGGAGTCCGATAGTCTTACATCCTACTATTAATGATATTATGATCAGCCACATCAGTTGTACAATATGTACTTTGTTTAGAACATCATAATGGAAATACTTCTTCATATAAATGTATCTTTTTGTTCAAAAATTAAATCTTGAGTTTAAAATGTAGACAGAAAAAGTTTACCTATAATTAATAAAAGAAAGCCTCCTTTGCAAATAGTTGATCAATGTCAAATTTATAAAAAATGTGAACTAATTACAAAGAGCTACCATATATTAATATGATCGAGACCTTTGAAATATTAAATCAATTTCCATGCAAAAAAGTGTTGAATGCTCTATATTAAGGTGATTGTGTGTGTTTGTGGTCCTACAGTTTATCCACCGTCACTGTAAGGAGCTGTCGATACGTCTGATCCAGACCATGAATGTGGGACAAAAGGACTCGCAAAGAAGTTTGTTTTCCGTCTGGAATGACATCTTCACCCTGCCCAGACCTAAACGGTCAGTGATTCAATATTCTGATATTTAAAGCTGCCAAGAGCTAAATGGTCAGTGATTTAATATTCTGATATCTAAAGCTGCCCAGACCTAAACGGTCAGTGATTCAACATTCTGATATTTAAAGCTGCCCAGACCTAAACGGTCAGTGATTTGATATTCTGATATTTAAAGCTGCCCAGACCTAAATGGTCAGTGATTTAATATTCCGATATTTAAAGCTGCCCAGACCTAAACGGTCAGTGATTTAATATTCTGATACTTACAGCTGTCCAGACCTAAATGGTCAGTGATTTAATATTCTGATACTTACAGCTGTCCAGACCTTAACGATCAGTAATTTATTATTCTCATTGTCATTGGTATCATTCTCACATCTTTACCTGCCCTGACCTATGTTTTAAAAGATATTCTCATATTTTGAGATTATTCATTTCCTATTAAAGTTGTAACATTGAATTGATATATAGAGCATAAATGGATATATGCACATGAAAATCCTTTTTAGTATAATTCACCTTTGAGTGGGATTTGATATACAACTGTAGCTTTGTAAGTTTGTCAGTGCAACCCATTCAGTTCCATCTTACTTCTGTGATATTAGACAAATACATCTGACCATAGTCAATACAGAGTTAGGAGTTGGACATATTGTTGTTCTATGCGTTTATATTTGGAGGTCATCAGTCAAGGTCATTCTCTTCACTGTATTTAGTTTGGATGATATTGCTATTGGTGGAGTTGGCTGATGGTAGATATGAGTACAGACCAGGCCGTGAACACGGAATACTAAACAGTATTTACAAGGATAATCGGTATAGGTCATGCGTGTACAATTTAAACAGATTGTTTTTGTTTGAGGGCTAATTAAGATTAGCAGGATCTTGCAAAGAGTTACTGTATTATATATATAAATAGTATTATAATGAGTTTCACATTTTATTTCAGAAATCGATTTTTGAACATCAATGATCTTAAGAATGAAGAATGGAAAGTCAACAACACATCTGATGCTGCTAGGTAATGGCTGTGGCTTCTGTTTAGAGATAATTGGGGATATATCAGGATAAGAAATTAATTTTCAAAAACGCTAGTCAGTTGAGCTAGAAGTTTCTAATTTTACTAGTCGATGTGCAGATTCCACAAACCAAACATTATTCAACATGATAAGCAGTATCAAATTTTGACTAGTAAATTGGGCTAGTAGTTTTTGGACTATCGGCCTACCCATATTTTCTAGCCTTTGGATATATTCACTTGGACACATGACAGGGCCCTTGCTAGCCTGTCAGTGTTCCAAGTGTATGCTCTGCTGTAAGTAGGCAACAGTAAACTGTAATTCTACTTCACTCATTTGGTCTTTTTGGATAAAGTGATTTATTTTGGCAGTAATGTGTTTTGCTGATGTTCATATTAAGAGAAAGAATCAATGATCAAACAATAACAGTCTCGAGTTCTGTGGTTTGTTGTAGGTTTCAGAATGTATTACAAGCCACCTACTCTAGTGGTGAGTATGAGAAAGTCATACAGGGATTGTTTGAGAACTACCTGGAATGCAAGTACAAAGATCCCAAAATGGAAGGTGTAAGTATTATGTTGATATGTAGTTGTACAAGTTTGTAGTAGATGTAACGTCACTATTTCATCATTAGACCAATTCCTTTGAACAGAGTTTCCATTGTCTGCTACTGCTTCTGTCCAGATCATTAATTGTTACACACAACACTTTGTCCTGAATCATAAAAGTTAAATATTTTGACAAAATGGTATTAGAATGAATCGTAATAAATCTGCTAGATCTCGTTAGTTTTGACACATTTTAAAATATAACATACAGAGTAATGGCATTTAGAGCCTAACTTTGCCTTGTACTGGTTGTGTTTTGTTGGCAGTGTATAGCTAAATTTGTATTATGTTGATAGAATTAAACATGATGTTGTTCTATATGTTACAGCTAAACTTCGCCTTGGATTGGTTGTGTTTTGTGGACAGAACAAACCAGTATATTGCCCACAAACAAGACTACTGTCTGTTGCCATATATCCCATATGTCACTGTCACATTCCATATGCTGTTTGCATCCAATCAGGCCCCTCGAATCCAGTACCCTCACAGTCAGTACGAGGTAAATGTGTGATTTATCGGGTATAAAGGATTTTTGTTCAAGTTCATATTCTTTTAAGAAGATGTTTTAAACCTGTGGGTACAATTCGGCTGGAACATCTTTGGAAACTGGCATGAATACATTGTGTATGTGTATACTGTCCCATGAATACATTGTGTATGTGTATACTGTCCCATGAATACATTGTGTATGTGTATACTGTCCCATGAATACATTGTGTATGTGTATACTGTCCCATGAATACATTGTGTATGTGTATACTGTCCCATGAATACATTGTGTATGTGTATACTGTCCCATGAATACATTGTGTATGTGTATACTGTCCCATGAATACATTGTGTATGTGTATACTGTCCCATGAATACATTGTGTATGTGTATACTGTCCCATGAATACATTGTGTATGTGTATACTGTCCCATGAATACATTGTGTATGTGTATACTGTCCCATGAATACATTGTGTATGTGTATACTGTTCCATAAATTCATTGTGTATGTGTGTATACTGTCCCATTAATACATTGAGTATGTGTATACTGTCCCATGAATACATGGAGTATGTGAATACTGTCTCATGAATACATGGAGTATGTGTATACTGTCCCATGATTTCATGGAGTATGTGTATACTGTCCCATGAATACATTGTGTATGTGTATACTGTTCCATGAATTCATTGTGTATGTGTATACTGTCCCATGAATTCATTGTGTATGTGTATACTGTCCCATGAATACATTGTGTATGTGTATACTGTCCCATGAATACATTGAGTATGTGTATACTGTCCCATGAATATTTTGTATCAATGAAATAATTGTGTTTCATTTCAATGTAACACAATTTCAATTTCAAAAACATTTTATTCTTAGTACAGAAGAACAATGACTATTACAGAGATAACAATACATGTATTGACAATAGGATTAGCCAGCAGGCTAAGACTATATCAGTCTTTTTCTATAAAATGTAACACAAGATAATATTCTACTCATAAATTTACTGTCTATAATCATACTGACTACTCTTCAGGCATCCGTGAAGTTGACCAAATCTCAAAATTTGGTAACGGCGATGATGACAGACATGATCCCATCAGTTAGGAAGTACCTAGACCAGGGGAAGACTGTTCTCGAGGTGTTACCTCCCCTGATGGACATCATCATGCCCACACTTCGTCCTGTAAGTTGTGACATCAAGGTTCTGACTAAGTTGTTTTTGTGTCTCTTAAATAAAACTAGGTCAGATACAGTTATTTTGAAAAAAAAATGTTTTAATAACATTGAATATTTGTATAGACCATTTAAAGAAATATATTGTAACCTTATATCATGTTGTTACTGGTTAAGTGATCATGACTTGGAGAAGCGTGTCAGGTGTATATAGACTCTTAGTTGTTCTAGGTAGACGTAATATAAGTTGCTACTAGATAGAGAAAAAGTTCGCTTTATTCCTTTTTGTGAATGCCTATTTTTAGAGTTATAGTAACGTTAGATGCAAAATGAATTAATAAAACAAAAACACATTATATAGATAAATACCCAGTTGTGTAGGCCAAGAGGGAAATATATGTTATTACTATATACTAGATAAATACCCAGTTGTGTAGGCCAAGAGGGAAATATATGGTATTACTATATACTAGATAAATACCCAGTTGTGTAGGCCAAGAGGGAAATATATGGTATTACTATATACTAGATAAATACCCAGTTGTGTAGGCCAAGAGGGAAATTTATGTTATTACTATATACTAGATAAATACCCAGTTGTGAAGGACAAGAGGGAAATATATGTTATTACTATTTACTAGATAAATACCCAGTTGTGTAGGCCAAGAGGGAAATATATATTATTACTATATATACTAGATAAATACCCAGCTGTGTAGGCCAAGAGGGAAATATATGTTATTACTATATATACTAGATAAATACCCAGCTGTGTAGGCCCAGCGGGAAATATATGTTATTACTATATACTAGATAAATACCCAGCTGTACAGTACGAGGGAAAAGGAAGAATTGGCCCAGCTGATCAGGATAATGATCGCCTACAACATGACCTACCTGCAGGAAAAGTCTCCCGATGGCCAGTACATCTACTCACTTGACCCGTGAGTAGTAAATGTAGAATGGTTTTGTTGTTAATGACTGTGTGTTCAGACCTGACAGAACTCCTTATATACCAAATCTTAATAGCAGTGTTTTTTTCTACCTTTTTTCACATAGTGAGTCTTTTCCTATAAACTTCTGAAAAGCATGGAGTCAAAAATGTCATTCAATTTAACATTCATTTTCAAAAACTTAATGCATCAGATTTAAAAGATGTGATTATTTGACTCATGACTCAAAGGTAAATTAAACACTGTAACGGTACAGGTTGAATGTCCTACATTGTACTGTATCTGTCTGATTAAAACATTTCTGTAACACCCACTGTAATATTTACACAGACTAGACTGCTGTGTACTAACACAGACTTTAATTTCTATGCAGTCCAAATTGAGTACAGAAGTCTATGAAGAGTGTTTTGATGGTTTGAATGAAACTGTGTTTGCATTTTTAGCTCACTATTGCCATGGTGTAGTCTACAAATTTGCCATTGCCAAGTCTCGTCACATTGTCAATAACTAATAAACAGATCTTTCTAAGTTGGTTTCCACTGGCCCTTAGTTGTGCATGTTGAGTTTTGAGCTTATACAATATCTTTGACACCACTTGGTTGTTCAGATGATGTTCAGTTCTTTAAAAGTTAAGTAATGTTACGGTTTGTTGAACAGGAAAGTGGACGAGGTGGTCAAGTTTTTGGGCATGAAGCAGCAGAGACAGCTTACCTATGCTGCAAAGCAACTGATTGCCAGGGAGGTAGGTTTTGGATGTTTTACCTAATTATATATGGCAAAAGTTTTAATATTACCTGTAGCTAAGTTTCTTACGTTCATTGACAGGTGGGTTTAGGCAATATAAGACATTGGCCATGAACTGTCTTCATTTCATCTTAGCTGTTGGGAGGATGTCAAACCCAAAATAAACAAACACTGACTAGTATGTGTAGTGTATTTACTATTAGACATCTGAGAGAAGTGTTGGCGAGGAGGTGAGGTAATCCTGGTCAATAGTTTTATAATTAGGTGTCCTAGACTGGTAAAAAGACTGCGTATCTAACACTAGATACACATAACATACCCAACACTGGGTACCCACAGCATATCTAACAATAGTTTTATAATTAGGTGTCCTAGACTGGTGAAAAAACTACGAATCGGGAAGCATCATACTTTTAGACAATTTTTCCCTCAGTTTATATAAGAATGATAACAGACTAGTGAAATTATCTGACTCAAAAGTGAATCCTGCCAGAGTTGTTAAATTGTATCATAATTGTCAACTACTGCACATTAATTGTAAGGAAATTTAGAGATAAACTTCTGGAACTTATTGAGGAATTTAACATGGTAGATATCTATAGGGAACAACACCCAGAAATTAGAAGATATACTTGGAGAAAAAGCAACCCTCGTAAACAAGCACGTCTAGATTTTTTCCTTATATCAGAAAATTTATTATCCAGTTTATATGAATCCACTATTGAGCCAGGATATAGATCAGATCATTCGATACCAACTATTTCTCTAAAATTTAATGATTTCAAAAAAGGAAAGGGCCTTTGGAAGTTCAATAACTCTTTACTACAGGAATTTGAATACTTAGATCTTGTCAAAAAGTCTATAGAGGAAATTAAAGTGCAATATGCTATTCCAGTGTACCAAATTGATAGCATTAATCTCATTCCTGATACAGATATCCAATTTATCATTAATGAACAGCTGTTTTTAGAGACACTTTTGATGGATATAAGGGGCAAAACAATATCATACTCTTCATACAGGAAAAAACAACAAAACAT